TATATTACTATAAAGAAATACAACTTGTATGTTGTTCTTGTTTAACACCTCGGATGCAGTATTCCTTTTTCAGACTCCCGTGGCTTTGCTGCACTGAAGAGGGTTCATGCAGATTCTTCGGCTGTAAAATGTTGATCTGTGTGACGTTTATCGCTGTCACTGAAAATATTGTAGGTTTAATTCTCAGCTACCTAAAAGAGTTACTCACTCAGTTAAAAGGATTAATAACGCTGCAGTGGCGATGTCTGTCCACAAGGTCCCACTACTTTACTAACCTACACAAGCGATGCCATTCTTTTGATTGAGTTTAGAGATTCAACTAAACTAAACAGCGTCAGCAATGACCCCTGACCCTTTAAAGCAAGTTAGAGCCTCACTCATGACCCACACTCACTTGTTACATCAGCAGTGAAGCAGAGAAGCTCAAGAAATGTTTTCGCTCACTCAGATGTAAACGAGAAGAGAAAGACAGGAGGCTGCTCCCGTTCCCCACCTCATCATCTTTACAGCTATTTGCCATCAGAGCAGCTGGTGAGCTGCACCTCGCCACCACTTGGAAAAGGAATACTGCATTTCTCTGCTGCTTGTTTCTTCAATTTGTGTTCCTCAGCTCTTGTGTGCATCCCTCCAGGGGCATATATAGATATATCTATATATATCAAAGGGGAGTGCGAGAGGAGGGTCATCTAGGCGGGACCTTCCTTTGGAGAGGACGGCGTCTGGGATGTGGAGCCGGAGGACGAGGAGGTGGAGCTCTTCAGGGAGCCCAGAGTCTTGCTGAACCAAGAGTTCTTGGCCGCCTGGATCTCGTTCATCAGGACTCCGCGCTGGTGCTCGAGCTCCTGCACAGTGACAAGAGGAGCAAAAAGGAGTCAAGGGGAGGAGCAAGGAGGATGTTGACAGATTTACATTATATCTAAGTTTGGCAACATTTACCTTTTTAAGGCTCAAATTAATCTAAAACCTCCAGTATCGTTGATATTATACTTAAATTAATGCTAAATAAAACAATAATCATGTTATAGATTACTGTCCCTCCTCCACGCTGCCGCTGACCTGGATGCGACACTTGGCCTCCACCAGTTGCAGCTTCGTCTGGGCCAGCTCCAGTTCCAGATGCCTCAGCTGATCATTCAGCCCGTCCTTCTCCTCGTCCTGCGGCTCGGTGGATGTCTTGTCCCTGCCGGGGGACGACGCCTGGAGGGTCCCAAGGGTGCTGAACAGGTCTCGACAGTGATCACAGCCAGATACTTTACTCTGCACAGGCACAATGTAAGCAGAGATGGTAGGTAAATATATTGTTCACTGTAAACAAGTCCAACCAATTTCCCTTTTGTATAATTAAGTACATGTTAACACACAGGTGTTAGGAGGATGATTCATCATCATCATAGCGTATGAACAAACAGTGGCATTAGAAGTCAAACGTTCTGTCCTAGTTGCAGAGGACCACATCTCTACTCATTTCTAATTTTCCTCACTGCTAATTTCATCAGGATAAATGCACAGCTCCTCCGGCCATCAACAACCCTACAGGACCCAGTTCAGCCGTAGCTAACATGAGACAGCAGTTAACATTATACAGTGGAAATTTAGAGTTTCTCTGAGCTTCACCATCTCTAGCCTGGTTTATCATAGCAACATAAAGACTATAAATCTTTCAAGTAAAAGCCTGTGGCTGCTGTGCGATGGCAGAGTCCTGTGGTTCGTGAGCCATCGATGTGACGATGTACCCCTCTCTCCTGCATCAACCCTTCCTGTTTCAACTTGATGTGCAGACATCACATTAGAGGAAAATGTCCTGATCTTTATCCAGGCCTGAGGTGGTACTCCACCGCACCCAATGAGCAACGGTAATGTTTGAGTTTATGTTTGACGAGGGCTGAACGAGTCATGTGCCATCAAGTTCTCTGTGGGTGTGATGATGTTACCAACATGGGCTTGTCCGACTCCCTAATGTGAACTCAAACGCACAACTTAGCTTTAAAATCCTTCATTCTGTGACGTGACATGTTGTGGATTAAATTAAGATATTAAACGTCTCCAACTCTGAATCTGCTGCCGCCTACAGTGGCTCAACAGAGCAAACTCACCCTGACTAAATCCAGCTCCTCTTTCGTTGCCGCCTGCTGCTGTTCGAGTCTGGTGCTCAGCTGGGAGCAGATCTGAAACACAGAGGGGAAGTTGGGTTGTATAGAAGATGACATGAACTACAAAACTGAGACACAATGAAGATTTCTTGAACCTGTTTTTGTCTTTGCCTTTAGTAGCAGGTAACTCTTTGTGACAAATTGAGATATTCAAATATCAAACCTGTTTGTATTCAGCTATGATCGCTGTGGTTTTCTTGATCTCCAACTCTGCTTTCTCCAGCTCCCTCCTGAACACTTCCTTCAGCTGCGAGGGACAGAACGACAGCAGAACACTCATGAAACTGATTCATCTGTTAATACTGCATCCGTCTCTCTTTATGGATTGATTAACAATAACTCTACCAATACTGTCCACTTTGGTGAGATCAATAGTAGTTTATTGACTACACCTCTAAGAGCTGCAGTAAAATGTAGAGCCACTGTCATGTTACTTCTTTTTAGTCTCATTTCAGGATGTGCTGAAGATTGAATATAACTTTTAAAGATGCATCAGCTCCCATTGATAAAAAAAACATGGCCATCAATTCTTATTTAGACTTAATTAGGCTGATAATCCATCCTAATTACAAAATGCTCCGTATCATCTACAGTGGCGACAGATTTCTGAACAGCTCTATTGAATCTCTGCTGTAATTATACAGCAAAGTGAAGCTGTTAATATGATAATAATCCACTTCTTGCTGATGTTGTTAGATTGGTCATTGATAGAGGTTCACTAAAGTCATTAACACGAAAAATTAACCAAACAATGAAGTCGTTCAGCAAAGGAAATGTCAAATGTCTGTTTTTCCTAATTACACATGTTCGTTAAAGTAGAGTAACGGTCCAAAGCTTCGACTGGGACCATTAAACCAACTGATCACTGAGACCTGTTGAGAGGCAGATGTTACCTGAGCCGTCTCCTCCTCCTGTTGTCTCTTTTCCTCCTCCGTCTCCACCAGACGTTGCTTGGTGCTCAGGAGCTCTTTGTTCAAAACATCCGCTTTGTCTTCTGCCTGAACGCACAAACACACACAAACACACACACACAGGCCCTTTATTGAACAGAATCTGCTCGATACATTAAAACATCTTGACTGTTTACTCATGAATACGGTTCCATCGATTCACTCTGACACTGTCTAGAGCAGCTGCAGTCTTCCAGTGTGGATTGTTTAATGAAATGTGTGTGTGCAGCTCAACCAGAGCTGTTGATGTAGAGTGTTTGTATTAGTAAAAGAGTTTCTGCTTACAGCTAGATTTGTCTGTTCGTGCTGTTTCACATGAATTTGGTAACAGCTGTGCATTATAGACACAGACTTACTAAACAAATCCATCTATCAAATGAATATATGGCATCTTCGTCAGTTTGAAACAAGGGTGTCCTAGAGTTGCAGCGTTACCTGGTCCAGGTCGTTCCGAAGGGCGATCTTACTGGTGACCAGTTCATGGGCCAAGTCATCGTTTTCCTGTTCTAGTCGCATACTGGCTTCCTGAAGACGTCGGTTCTCCCTCTGCACGCAAACACACGCACGCGTGCACACACACACACACACATTGATGATGAAATGATGAACAGGAGAAATGCTTCTTTGTGGATGAATCTTAAAACGTTCATTGTTTTTGTGTTATTTATTTAATGTACTCCCTCTGGATTAGAGATTAAGAGTCCAGGAACAGCTCTTTGACTTCATTCTCGCTCATTTCCTGTTTACCCCCCCCCCCCCCCACACACACACCATTTTAAAGTCCCTGTTGTAGACCATTAGTGTGTCTCATGACTGCTGGTCTGCCAGTAAACAGTCTCACATGATGGCCATTCCTCAGTGGGACAAAGCAGTTGTCTCAGTTGTGAGCTGTCACCTGACTGTGATATCCAGTCACTGTCACACAGATGACCTCTGCCACCCCTAATTAACCACACCCGCCCACACAGACATACTGTATGTATGTCTCATAATTACAATTAATTATATAGCTGGTCTGAATAATCGCATTTCATACAATTATACAAATATAAACTGTAAAAGTAAAATATATGTGCATCTATCTACACAGAGAAATCTCTCCTTTTGGTTCCACATGAGCAAATCTAAACAATTTTGAAAACTAAAAACAAAGAACAGTAACCAGCATGTGTAGAGTCACCAGGAAACTCACACAGCTCCATCAACCCCTGATTCATTATATCATACATCATACAAACAGACGTCAGCTGGAAAAAAAACCAAAAGTATCACATATTACAAAACGAGTCCAGCTTTGCCTGGACGGAGCCCTCATGCTCCTCTTCAGATTCAATAAATCACCTCCTGTTTGCAGTTAAGTGGTGAATTTAATTTGGGCACAAAGAGGAAAGACCCGCATCATCTCAGTTAGCAGGGAGGGAAGTTTTAGACTGAACCTCACAGACTTCATATGAAAATCGTAATAAATAGTTAATGATTAATGTAAGCATCAGTAAAGTCTAGAAAAAGCCTTAGGAATAAGGAAAAAGTGAAATGTCTGTAGGAGCAGAGGCAGCTTACCGTGCTGCTGTCCAGAGTCACAACATCTTCATATTGAGCCTCCAGCAGCACAGACTAAACTTAAACACATGATCCTGGCAGGAGTTTCCCTTCTCTGTCTGACACTTCACTCTCTCTCCCTCACA